ATTTTGCCTCTAATCTTTCCAGCCCCATATCAGTTCTCCATGATATTGTCAGAATGAGTTTCCAAACATACAAATCTGAAGGTATTACTCCCCTACACAAAATATTTAATGATTTCCATCTACCTATTGCCCATCATAAGTCTGTCATAGTTTATCTTTTCCCAATTTATATCTAGCCATTCCACTCCTTGACCCCTCCATTCTAGCCACAGCAGATTATTTGTCTACCTCTGAAGATACATCGTGCCCTATCAGATATCTGTGTTTGTTTGTTTTTTTTTTTGGCTCACATTATTCCTCTTTCCTAGAACACCCCAATCCTTCCCCCACTTAACTCTGCAGGTTCAGCCTGGCCTAGCCCAGGAATCAAAGAAAGCACAGCTTTGTAGGGTTTTATAGACCCTTTTCTACCCTAAGACAGGTCTAGCATTTAAGTATTGTGGAATCAGTAAATGGATCAAACATTCCCTTCTAGTCCTCTCTGTGTGGGCCCAGGCTATCTGATTGGGCATCTGAACCAGTTTGTGGTTGCCATGCCAATTCTCTATGGATACTGCAGCCTGCTTTGAAATCCCAACTAAGCTGGCCTTGATTATGCTCCTAGTTCAGCCAGCCCCCTTCATTCAGGAACTGATTCTGTCTCTTTGCTCCCAGTCCCTGGCATCTCTGCATCCCGGTGTTGGACAGTGATGCTTCTTAGTCCACACATGCACACACACACACACACACACACACACACACACACACACTCACAAAACAAAAATCAAATCCTTTGCTGTCAAGTCAGTCCTGACTGTCTTGCCTCTAATCTTTATAAAGGGTCCTGCTGTGGTGCTGTGGGATAAACATTGGACTGTTAACTACGAGGTTGGTGGTTCAAACCCACCAGTTGCTCTTTGGAAACTATACAAGGTCACCATGAGTCGGAACTGATACGATGGCACTTAACAATAAAACACCAATCATTATGAAAGCAGATCATCTGGCTTTTTTCCTGTGAAGTCGCTAGATGGCTTCAAGCTGCCACCAGTAGGAGTGCAAACCATTTACACCACATGTTGTTGTTGTTGTTGAGTGACACCACATAGGGACCTTAAAAGATCATGTTGGTTCCGACTCATAGCAACCCTGTACAGAGTTTCCAAGGAGTGCCTGGTAGTTTTGAACTTCTGACGTTATGGTTAGCAGTCCAGTGCTTATCCTACAGTGCCACACAATTTTCTACTCATAATGACCCTATGTAATAGACAGCTGCCCCATAATGTTTTCTAGGCTATAATTTTTATGGGAGCAGATATCTAGATCTTTCTCCCACAGAGCTGCTGGGTGGATTTGAACCACCAACCTTGGAGTTAGCAGGCAAGTGCTTGATTGTTGTGCCACCAGAGCTTGTTTATAAGACCATACCCCAAGCACACTGCTATCGACATGATTCTGACTCATAGTGATCCTGTAGAGGGTTTCAGAGGAGTGGCTAGTGGATTTGAACCACTAACCTTGTGGTTAACAGTCTAGTGTGTATCCTACAGCGCCACCAGGGTCCCTTTTAGAAGACAATTGTTGTTAAGTGCCGTCCAGTCGGTTCTGACTCACAGTCACCTTGTATAGGGTTTCCAAGGAGCCGCTGGTGGGTTTGACCCACTGACCTTGTAGTTAGCAGTTATTCATCCTATAGCACCACACCAGGACTCCTAGAAGACAATGTTGTTGTTGTTGTTGTTGTTGTTGTTGTTCAGTGCTGTTGAGTTGGTTCTGACCCATAGCGACCCTGTATAGGGTTCCTGAGGAGTGGCTGGTGAGCTTGAACCATTGATCTGGAGATTCAAACCGACTTTGCTGTCCAGTGCATTAACCCACAGTGCCACACCAGAACTCTTAGAAGACAATTGTTGTTGTTAAGTGCCGTAGAGTTGGTTCCGACCCATAGCGATCCTGTATAGGGTTTCTGAGGAACCACTGGTGAACTTGAACTGCTGACCTTGCAGTTCAAATGGCTTTGCAGTCTGGCGCATTAACTCACAGCGCCACACCAAGACTCCTAGAAGACAATAGATGTGTCTAAAAAGCATTGAGTATCATGCATGATAGTGTGCAAAACCCACCTGTTAGGGCTATTCTGCCTTAGACCAAACCCCTTGAATATTGATCCCTAAATGGTTCATGTTCAAGTTTACACCTTTTGGACTTTTTTGTTTGGATTGCTATCCACTCCCTTAGGGGATCCAACCCTATTGCCAAGTTCTCTATACTAGCTTCAGCCTGGCTGAACCAGCCTCACTTCTTTCTGACTCATCTCAAGTACTTAACATACCTAAGGCTATGGTCTCAGTTCTTATGATACCATCTTACCTTTTATAGTTTATAAACAGTTTTTAAATACATCTTATTTGATTCTCACAAAAGCTCTGTGAAAGAAATGGGGAGGCTGTTATTAACCCTATATAATAGATAAGGAAACATCTGGAGAGGGTAAGTATAACGTGTCCAAGGGAATATAGCTAGTAAATGGAGAACCAGGTATTCTAACTTGAATACACTCATTTCTATGTAGCACATTGAGTGTCTACTCTACAGCAGGTACTAAGTCTCAATTGCCTCCTTCTCTCTCACACACACATAATTGTAGCAGAGTTTCAAAAAAATGTTTTGTTTTGTTTTTTTTAAATTAAACCCTGGGGTTAGCCTGACCCTCCCTCCTATCTCTCTAAGACATTGTATATACCAGCTAGCTACCCTCAAGGTTCCTTGGGCCTGCCCCCATGTGGGTTGCAGGACACAAGAATAATGTGTCCTCTATTTGCAGTAACATCCAGCCCTAATCTAGAGTTGGAGCCTCTTTCCAAGGGGGACTGGTGGAATTTTTTGAGGAGAAACTAGATTTCCGAGGAGATGATGGATTTAGCATTTCTCAGTGTAGGAAGGGCATGAGGTTCCCTTGTGGACCAGAATGAAAAAACAACAACAACAAAAAATCCAAAAACCTTTCTCTTGATGGTCTTTTGGACTGAGATACTTGTGGTGGTTGTGTTGCACTGTGTTGTGTTGTGAGAGGAGGAGAGATATTTCAATATGAAAAGAAACCTCTCCCACCCTGAGGAGGGTGGGGACCTCTCCTCTGACAGGATATGATGTCAGTTCTGAAGAAAAAGGAAATATCTTGCAGTAAAAGAATGTTTCTCTTTTAAAGAAGGGTAAAGATTTCTTTCTCAAGGAGTAGAAAGAAATGATTACTTTTCCCTTCCTTTCTAAAGAAGAAACTTCCTTGAATGAAGAAGCCTTCTTGCTTTCTGAAAAACAAACAACAACAACAACAACAACAAAAAACTGTTTCAAAAGGGAAAACAATTCTAATGAGATTATGTTTGAGTCTCTCTTCCTTTCTACCATTCTCCCCACATGGAGTCAGCATACTCTGAGAGGGAGTGGCAAACAATTTTTCCTGCTTTGGAGGTTGGGAAGTGGAGAAGGGAAACTTGCTATGGAGGAAACTTTTACGATGAGGGACCATTTGTGAGGGCAGTAACTCTGAGATGAAGACATTCTAGTGAGACCGAAGAAATCTTTAGGGACCCCAGGAGCACATAATGTTAAAGGGAGCTTGGAGGTGTACTAGGCCAGTCCAAGTTTGCTCAAAACGAGCCTGAATTTTAAGAAAGAGAATATCTTGCTAATAAGTGACATAACTAGAACTTAAACGCAACTCTATCATTTCCCACCCCAGCTGCCAGGGAGAAGGGAAGCTACCTCCCATTTTGAAGAGCAATGCTAGCAGGAAACTGCTGCTGATAATTTTTCTACTTGTGGTGGAGGTATCTTTGGGGTGGAGGGTATTGATTTCTAAGGGAAGGAAATTGGGGAGGAGGAGAGCATCGGGAGTTATGTCCACAGGTGAGTTGCAGGACATCCATTTGCAGGGAATGCTGAGTTTTGAGGGAGTGCAGGGAATGCTTCACTGGGAAGGGTGGGATGGGGATGGAGGGGCCGAGGGGGCCTTTGCAAGGTTCTGAGGGCATGTATGTAAGTCTCTTGAACGTGAGACTATTTCTCTATCATTTCCTATCTTTCCAGAGTGAGTTGTTAATCAGTTTAAAATCAGAAGAGGGAGGTATGTGAATTATATCTCAATAAATCTGTTATTAAAACAAATAAAACACACACAACAGAGAGAGTGTCTCAGGGTCTGACTTTGTGGGGTTAGGAGTGCAGTGATCCCTCATTTTGTAGCTTCAGTTCCTCACAGTCACTATTTCTTTTGCCCCATTCCTTTCTTGATTTACAAAAAACCAAGGTCAGCTCATCCAAGGGGCAGTCAGAGGTTACAGGAGAAAGAATTTGACAAACACACAAGCCTCCTTATTTACTGTAAAATCCTGTTTAATGTGTAACATTTCAGGCATAGAGAGGCCTTGGGGACTAGGGGCTAAGGCAGCCCTGGCCAATCTCTGCTCCAGTTTGCCTGCTTCTCCCTCCCTAACTCCCCCACCCCCAGACTCCATCCAGCAAGTAGGTTTTTGTTGTTGTTCTTCTTGTTCTTGCTATCTTCTCCTCCCACAAGTCCACAGTATCTCAGCCTTTACTTGCCCGCATCCCTTCCCACTGATGTGACTCTAGAAAATAGGGTATCTGACAGTATGGGGTTAAGATTAGTTACAAAATTGGAGATACTGTTAGAGCATCTCCTCTCTTGTCCCCAGTGGTTCCAAAGAAAGGGAGAAGGAAGAGGAAGGGGTACAGGCAGTAACAGTCACCTACCCTTCATTTCCCACATCCTCATTAACCTGGAGCACTGGTCAGTGGCCTCCAGCTCCCTACCTTTCCAGTCCCTCAGACAGAAAGCCCTGGGAAGGGAAGGTGTTTTTTTTTTTGTTTTTTGAAGGGAAGGTTTTTTGATCCAGTGATTCCTAGCAGGTAGAGAGGCCTGAGTAGCAGCAGGGGAGAAGGACAGCAGGTCCAGGACAGGGTAAGGGTGGAATGGGAGGTTGCCTGGTATGTGGCATCAATCAGCAAGCTGAGCAGCGGTCGCTCTTCTCAGTCAGCCCAGCACCAGTACCCGGGCTGCGGCGCAGTATGTCTTTCAGGGAGCCATCCTGCTCACTCAGCAGCTTGTTGATCTCATTCTGCTTGTATTCAGGTGAGAGACGGTGGACAAAGCCTGAGCCCTTGCGGGATGGTGGATTGGAGCGGCGCTGGGCTCGGCGGGCACAGGCCTGGATGATGAGGTACACCACCTCAGCCACGTTGAGGATGATACAGATACCCGAGGCGGTTAACATAAAGACTGTGAAGACGGTTTTCTCCGTGGGACGGGACACAAAGCAGTCCACTGTGTTGGGGCAGGGGTAGGCCTCACATTTGACCAACCGTACCATGGCATAACCAGGGTAGAGCAGATAAAAGACGTACATAAAGACAGCCTCAAACAGCAGCCTGAATACTACACTGATGACATAGGTCCACCACAGTGTCCCTGAGATGTGGACCTTATGTCTCTTCACCTCTTCCAGGTGTAGGGGGTCCCCATGGCCCTCAAGCCGAAGCATTTTCTTCTCTATGTGCTGCTGGTGAGCGACGTGCATGGCCACCAGGAGAGCTGGGGTGGAAACCAAGATGAGCTGCAGGGACCACAGACGCACATGGGAAATAGGGAAAAAATGGTCATAGCAGACACTGTTACAGCCAGGCTGGAGGGTGTTGCAGATGAAGGAAGACTTCTCGTCACCCCACACACTCTCTGCAGCCACCACCAGCACCATGATTCTGAAGATGAAAATGACTGAAAGCCATACTCGGCCGATGGCCGTAGAATGCCGGTTCACACCACTGAGCAAGGTGTACAAACCTGTCCAGTTCATCCTGCCTCATTCACACCTGCAAAACATGAGCCACAAAACAAGCTATTAGAGAGCTAGGACAGAAAACTTAGGACTATGACACTGCCACAGCCTCCACCAGCAGCCCCAGTCCCAACCTCTTGCAGTGACAGGAAAGATAGCAGGATAGTCATAGTTTTCCTCATCACCTTGTCTCTGCCAGCCTTCATTCTTTTTCACGCACTTGTGTCCTCCGGGAGGCCCATACCCCTTCTTCGCTTTCACCAACTCTTTGCTAGACCTATCTTATTCTCCCATTGGCTACCCCTTCTTGCTCCTTGTTTCCCAGCTCCTTAGCTCTCTGGACCTCGGACAGATTCAACAAAGCCCCGTTACCTTGGGAAGCGCCTGTCCCTGAGGCCACCCAGACAGGTCCCCTATGGTCTCATGTCTGTGCAGGGGGAGTGGTCCCTGGGTCAGAGCCTGTGTTCCAATTCATCACCGCCGTGTGCTGGGGAGTCATATGCTGCTTTATACCCAGTGTCTGCACAATGGGACCTTTGTGGGGCTCTGAACAACGCCCTTTAGAATTCAGATCAAACGCCCTGACTTCCGCCCACCCTACACACAGAGCACTTGTGTCCCAGCGCCCGACACCCAGCCTGCACCCACCTGTTCTGTGCCCGCCCGGTCCATCGCCGCCCCCACCCCATAGCCCCACCAGAAGCACGACCATGGGTGTGGGTGTGGGGATAGGAAGAGAGATGGAACAGAGACAGGTGCACTGTAAGACAGGACCCCAGGGAACCAGGAGGCTCAGGGATGAGGCCCTCCCCTAGTGGCTCTACCAAAAACTTAGAATCAGCAGGATTTTTCCAGGGTATGAGTGAGCTAGAGGAAAGGAAAGGGAACTCATAGTTATCAAGCCAAGAACGATGCTAAGTATTTTCACAATGCATTCTTCTTTAAAAAAAAAAAAAAAACCACACACACACACAAACAAAAAAAACTACTTAGTAAGCCTCTAAGGATTGTTACCCATTTTCCAGATGATAAAGCTGACACTCAGATAAGGTAAAGTAACTCACTCAAGGTTACACAGCTATGAAATGGCAGGGTAGTATGAAACAAAAGTATCGGAAGCAGAAATTTAGAGTCTTTTCACAGTATAGGCCTTGTGTTTTTATAGATGATGTCAGCAAAAGTGAGTGGTTAAAAAAAAAAAGAAAGAAAGAAAGAAAGAAAAGCAAAGGCTATTGTTACTGGTAAACGCACAAGAAATATGGAAACTGTGGACCTGTGAGCACAAACTCCAGTATTATAGAGCACACCCTGACCATCCATTCCCAAGCTTCAGGAAAGGGAACCCAGCTAGGAGGTGGTGAGGTTGGAATACGGAGAGTTCAAGGCAGTAGGAAACATTAAAGGGTCACCAGAAATCAGAAGGTTAGGAAATGGAATATGTAAGAGTCACATAGCCTTGGGTCAAATCCTAGTTCACTTAATACAACCTTAGGCTAGTTACTGAACTCTGAGCCTGCTTGCTCATCTATAAATGTGGTAATACCCCAGGTTATTTTGTGAAGTTTAATGAGGCAGCCAGAAAAAGTTCTTAGCTCAGCTCCTGTTTCATAGTTGGTGATCAAGGGAAGTAAGAGCCTTCTGAGGAAGATTAAAACAATATTGCTTTTGGGGGACTAAGTGGTCTGCTAACCCCAAGATCACTCCTTTTTTTTAACTTCCTGATGCTGTTATTGACCTATAGTATCTACCTGCGATAGGACAGACTGTTCTGTTCCTGCCCTGCCTCCCAATATTAAGTGCATATTGTAACATCCTGCTCTCAAGAGCTTGCCAGTTGCACTAGGGAAAAATTCTCCTCTGCCCCTTAGGCAGGCAAAGAAGGCCTCTCCCTACCTTTGGCTACTTTTGCTATGAAATTGTGAGGAGATCAAGCTAGAACAAGGAACTGGTATGTCAAAAGAATACATAGGCCTAGTCCAGTAGGAAATGCAAGGCCTTTATCACTCTACTGCAAGGACAGTAGTTGAGGTAGAAGCCCCATACTCATCTCTGGATGATTCTCTTTATTGCAGAGGGAAGAGGTTAGGGAAAGGGATGAAAGAAAATGGGAGAAGGAATGGTCCATGGGATTATAAATTACTTTTCTCAACAACGTTTCTTTAATTAGCTAATAATAATAATAAATAAATCTTAGTGAATCTATGTTGTGTGCCCAAATGAGTGTGGGGAGGCAGGAGTACAGAGACCCTTTCTCCCAACTCTAGGATTCTGAAGGCAGAGCTGCTGTAGGAGGCACCACAGTTAGCTCTAAAGAAGTGTTTGCTCCATTAAGATACATTAGACCCCCCAAAAGACTCAATAACAACTATTCACTGAGTACTTGTTGTATGCCAGGCCCTTGCATACCTACTATCTTGTGTAACCCTCAAAACAACCCCTATGAGGTGGGTGTTTTTATCCTCATTTCACAGATGAAGACACCAAGGCAAAGGAAGGTGAAGGGACTTATCCAAGAGTCACACAGTAAGTGACAGAGCTGGCCTTTGAGCCAGGCAAAACTAACTTCAGAGTCCATACACTTTCTCATAAACTCTATTGCCTTGGATAAAATTATAGCTTTTACTTCCATAGGTGTTATTAGAAACTAGGAGATTCAAAACTGGTCTCTCTTCTCTTTTCCTTTAGCCCCTCCCCCCCCTCAACTCTTTTCTCCTCCTTCCTTTCCAGGGTTTTCCATTGCCTCATGATTTGTTATTTCCCCCCCCCTACTCTATCTTTGCTGGGCTACTTACTCTTACTCTAAAGCAAATCCTCCTCAGGTATGTCTCCACAGATAACATTGCTACCCCTGAGTTCCTAGGTTCTCTGTGTCTTATTTTCTTGAGCAATCTAGGACATAAGCCTGTATGTAGTTCCTTTTACCTTTGTGTGGGCACTGAGATTTCTCTCAATCTTTGCCTTTCACTTTGGAAGAGGAGCTAGTCATTATGTCAACACCAATATCTTAAGGGTTTCATTTAAGACTCTGTTGTTGTGTTGTTAAGTGCCTTCCAGTCGTTTCTGACTCATAGCAACCCTGTATAGAGTTTCTGAGGAGTGGCTGGTGAGTTTGAACCATCTGCCTTGCTGTTCAAACTGACCTTTTGGTCCAGTGCTTATCCTACAGCGCCACACCAGGACGCCTTTTTATCAACCACAAAAAGAAAACATCCAGGGGAGTGACCTGATTTTGAAATCCAAACCATGTTAGTGACTTTAAGTTAAAGTCCAAGTTTTGATATACTCTGTGTTACTCCAGGCATGTTTTGTCTTCATGTTTAATTAGATAGGACCTCTCTGTTCATGTCAGGCTTTGGCTCTGTCCTCTGACTCAGATTTGCCTTAGCACTCAAGCACAGTTTAAAATTACGGAGCATACTTAGTCCTTACAACAATCTTGTAATATTATCCCCATTTTTCAGACAAGGAAGTTGAGGCTCAGAGAGATTAAGTAACTTGTCTCGATGGCAGTTACACTACTGCTAAGTGATAGAGTCAAATTTCAAATATATTTTTGTCTGACATCAAAGCCTTTGTATATAGCACTGCCTTTGGAAGCTTCTTTGCCTTTAAGGAGTTTGCATTGAAGCTGAGACCAGGCCCATGATTCAAAAATTCCTTACTGTGTGATTGTATGTGTGTGCAGATGTACATACACACATTGATCAAGTCTGCTTCTCTCCCACCTCTGCTCTCACCTCTTTCTCTTGTCTCTTCGAACTACAAGAAAACCCTTGTATTTTTTTAGTTTGGGGAAGTAGAGTCTGGTTGGGCTGGGGAAGAAGAGTCAGCTTCAGACTCCACACTCCCTCTCCCATTAAATAAGCTGTTCTAGATTCTCTCAGTGACATTCATGAACACCTCTCTACAGGCAACCCATCACCCAGCCTCTGGTCAGAAAAGGATATGAAGTTTTCTTTGAGATTCCCTTTTATTTCTGGCCACCTTAATCTGTTTGTGTGGCAAAAGTCAAATTCTTCAAGCTCTTTCCCTCTTCCCTTGCTTCTCTTCCCTGCCTTCACCCTGTGGTTCTATAGCATCTCATTCATTGAACTTATCCTCTCCCTGCCCCTGCTATACTACTCTGTGGCCAAGATTGGGTCAGGTCCAGTCTAGCTCATTACAACTTTCTTCTTCCCTTGCTCTGCTATGATCTTTTCACAGAACTTCCGTTAATGTCAGCTCCTTTATACACTATTTGGACATACCCTCTTATCCCCCCTCCCATTGTTCATCTATCTGACTTCCTGTTGTTCTCTACTTGCGCTTACTATAACAATAATGCTTACTGTGTTGTTGTTGTTATGTGCCGTGGAGTTGATTCTGACTCATAGCGACCCTGTACAGGGTTTCCGAGACTGTAAATCTCTATGGGAGCAGAAAGCCTCATCTTTCTCCCATGGAACAGCTGGTAGTTTCGAACTGCTGACCCCGAGGATAGCAGCCTGATTCGTAACCACTATGCTACGAGAGCTGCCTAATGTGTGCTAGAAGCCATATGTTTATTAACGCTTATGTTCACAACCCTGTGAGTCACAAGTTATTTTCTCCAATTTACAGATGAGAAAATCAAGGCTCAAAGAAGAGGAGAAAAATGGAGGTTCAAAGAAGATGAGTGAGGAAATGGAGGCTCAGATTAGGACTCATGGATCCCTCGGTAAAGCCTGGGTCCCTTCTGCATTGCTATTGTGCATTCTCATCTATACTTTCCTCCAGTAAAACCCTTCTTGTCTCTATTCTCCTCTCCTCATTTCAATTCCTAAGTCCATGAATTCTGCCATGTCATTCTCAACAGCTGGAACAACTTTCAAACAACTGAGGGGCATCCCTCCTTCAGATTTCCAAACCATCAGTGACTCCAAGCTCAGCTTGAGTCTGCCTGCCTTTCTCAAGAAAATGGAAATATATGTTCCCAAATCTTCAACCCTGTTGGCTTGCCCTCCACTGCTGCAGAACACACTGTATTTCTCCACCCACAGCCCCTATATTGGTTGCACACCTGGTTTACCTTGTAATCGTTGAAGGAAAACAGCACGTGGATATGTGAAATAGTCTCACCTAAACTTAACGGTGTGTGGCAGGAAAACCCTCTGCTTAGAGAAGGACTTGACTACCCTGAGCCTAGGGGGTCCCTCAGACCTTTCTGGGAATCTTGCCCTGTGGAGATAAGGGAAATCCTTGCATGAGGAAAAAGAGAGCCAGGAGGAACAAGTTTGAGTATGGAAAGAGGACATAAGAGTTGGGGGCTGCAGTGAGAAGCTTAGCAAGGTTGTCACCTGGCAGGAGGGGCCTCACCCCAGTTCAGAGGATAAGCATGGAGGGGATCTAAAAGACTAAATGCTGAGATCAAGAGAAGGCAGAATCTAGATCTCTATTCAGTCCCCATTTCTGCCCCCTATAAGCCAC